AGTTGCAGGAATGGTGGTCGATTACCTGGATGGACTATGCATCGACCCCCCACAATATTGGCACCTGAACGTTTTTCCTATTCAGTGTGCCCTTAGGTCTATAGTTGTAATGGAGTAAGCTTGATCCCAACATCTAACTGCTGTCTATTTGAATATGCCCGACCACGCGAACAACAGAATATAAATAAATATATATTCAAGGGGGAATCCATAGAGGAGAAACTAAAATTAGCCAATCAAATCCATTCCAAGGTGTGGCTTTCTTCAGAGATCTCGACGAAAATAGATAATGGTTGTTGGAGATCTCGATCAAAATAGATAGAGTAAAAACACAACTCAATTAAAACACAAAAGCCAGTCGTCCAACCGATTTTTTGAAAACCAATGCTGAAACCTCAATTACCAAGATCATCATCACGACGAAGCAATCAAAAATACAAGAGAAGTTCAAATTTAGGAAAAGAGATCCAATTTCAAGTTTACGAAAACAGATCTACGAATTATTTCTTCTTTAGTGGGCAATATTTGTCATGTGGAACGGGTCCAGGTTTTTTCTTTCCACCATTGTTCATCTGGTAAAACATATATTGAGCACATGGTCGACAGCAAAAGTTTTGATTCAAGTTTGGTTGAAGGAAGTGAAGGAAGTGAAACGGAAGCATTGTATTGGTCGCCTGAAATGGAAGAAATCGAACCATTGGATGGTAGCCTCCTCCAGCTCCAACATAAGGAGGATTCATGGAAAAAATTGGCAGATTCGATGATGATGGGTACACAAAATTTGGAAGTGTTGAAGGAACGTTTCTGGGAGCATTGCCATTCGGAAGCATCAACAATCTTCCAGAAGGGGGCTGTGGTGCGTGCGGGACACAACGAATTGGCGATACTGCTGTGGGTGCTCCTACTTTAGACTGAAAAAAGAAGAAATTGCAAGCTCATCGCAGAATTGGAAATGTTGCAAAGTCCTTCAAATTGCTTACCAGTTCTTCTACGCTTGTAACGTTTCCATTCCCAGGTGCATTAACAATTGGACTTGCAGCTGCTGTATCAAATTGGATTGCGCACAATTCGCATTCGTTGCAAGTGCAAAGTCCATCCATCGTTTTTCCAAGTTTGTTCCTTTCCTTTTGTTCGCTGAAGTACTTCGACAAGAAGACTTCGCCGGTGTTTGGTGCCATGGCTTTGATGTGCGGAAATGGTGGATCTATACCCTTTGCGATTGCAAGCTCATTGAGAAGATGAAGTCTGGTATGATTGTACCATAGAGGTCGATCTCGCAAGTATCCTGGTACAAACTCCCAACAACAATCAACATTTTCACCATTGTTTTCCATCTGCTGAACTCTGTGCTCCCGTAGTAGATTGTATTCTGCAGCACCTCTCAGAGTTAGGAAGTCTGCTACTTCTGGACGCATTCCTGTATTTGCAAAATGACGCAAGAGACCATGGAACATTTCAAGCAAGCTCTCCGGACGTTTGGATAGCCATACGAGAAGTGGAATGAGTGCTCTCTTTCCAGGTTGGACGCCTTGATACATCTCAATACCTTCCGGATCTTGAATGTGGTTGGCATGCAGTCGGTTGTTCTTGAGTTGGTCCATGAACTTTTGTATTGAAGTTGTGAAGACTTCTGTAAGTTCCGGGGCCGTCTTGAGAAAGTCTAGAACCCAGACTCCAAAGTCATGTAAGTTTCTGTCGACTTCGTCTCCACTCAGTATCTCCTTTCTGAGATACTTGGTGTAGTTCCTAGTCCAATTTTTCGACAGTCGCAATTCGTCCACTTCTTCCCCTGTGTCTCACCATCACCTTGCTTTTTCATTTTCCTGTCACGAAACGCTTTCATTAATCCATCCATGTCGTCTTGATTGTACCTATAGACAGACCTTTGAAAGCGATCTTTTACCAGATGGAAGTGTGGATGCATTGGGTTCAGAAGCTTTGTGACTCGCTGGTTAAAGTGGAA